TCTTACAATGCCTTAAAATATTTGCTACACAACTGGTCTATATTGGGGCCCAGTTCTAGTATCAGCACATCTTAATTCCCAAGCTTTTTCAGTGAAATGACATAATAATAAATTCACAGTAACTACAAGTAATTTCAGGTTTCCATTTGCCTTGAGGCTTCCTGATATATGCCATTTCAGGGACAGAAGGGATCAGAGAAAAAAAAGTAAATGTTGATAAAATAGCCCAAAGTAAGTGTCAGCCAAAACATCACAGAGATTTGTGCAGTCCTTCCAAAGCTTTGCACAATGTTTTCCATGTCTTTCTCAACTGTACAAGACAAAGCAAAAGATCTGGGGTTTTAACAAGTCTTTTTACCTAAACAGAGTTAGTGCTCAAAACCAGCAGTGTTTCTCAGCGTACTGCTTTCCATTTCCTGTTCAGTGGGGTTTTTGGTTTTTGTTTGGTTGGGCTTTTTTTTTATAATGAAAGTTACTTTAAAAGATTTGTCTTGAGTGTTACCCCTCATTAATGTTCTCATCCAGGGTACGACAAAAGATACCACACACCACAGCAGAACTTTCCTAAAAGTTGATAGCTTTATTCCCACGCATATACATATGAAAAAAGGAAAAAGAAAAATTTAAAAAGGCTGCTGAGAAAATCTAGGTGAGAATTTATAATGAATTAACAATAAACCAGATAGCAGCCCATGTCCATCTCTAAGGTATGGACATATCAATATTTGCGTATATAAAAACATTAAAGGAAACGTGGAAGACAAAAAGAATTACTTTAAAGGAGCAAATAAGGTATAATTGTTTAAACTGAGGAAGATCCTCGATTGATGAGTATAAATAAATTGTTCACACATTCGGTGAAACACATACTGACTGTTCATGTCTCCTCACAAGCTGCAACCTGTTCAAGGCTACTGAAATGTGAGGGGAAAAAAACCCCAACCACCCACACCTTTTTTGTCCAGCCAAATCATCCAAACACAAATTAATAAAGCTCAGCACTTTCATAAGACTTCACATCTTCAAAGTACTGAGCACACATTAGCTAATCAATGAATTCCCCTGTCTTGAATCCAAAGTGCATTAGAGGAATGGAGGCCAAATCACGAAAGTTCAGGCAAGCCTGACCTCAAACATCTCACCAGCTTATTGCCACAGGGGCTGGCTGAAACCCTGGCAGGAGCCAGTCCAGTGCTCCTCTGCTTTATGTTGTGCTGCCCCTTCCACAGCTGACTCCAGCCAGCTGTTACCTCCCAGCCAAGTTGTAACTCATAGCTCATTTTAGGGATACCTAAAAGTCACCTTCAGCACCCCGTGCCTGAATTGTGCTTGCTCAGAAGCTCTGGTACAAAAGATTCGCCTCCCAGGTGCCCTTTTTGCTCTCAGTCAGGGCCAACCAAAGCCTCCTCAGCAAAACTGCACCCAGCCACCTCCGTGCTAAGAGGAAAAGGTGGGCGGGAGCGAGCTGGGGGAGCAAAGAGTCTAGCAAAAGCTCGCTGCCTTGGCTGGGGCCATTTCAAAGCAGCTGCCACCTTTGGTCAGCCAACCCAACAAGCCTAGCCTCCACAGGCAGCGCAGGCAGGCCAGCCGCCACCATCATGCCACCTCCAGCAGCCCTGTGCTGCAGCCAGGCCTGCCCAGGGGTGCCCAGCCAGCCTTGCTGCTGCCCTGGACACCAGCTGGCTTCAGGACCACAGCAGGCACCCCAGGCAATTTTCAAGGCCACCTCAGGACACTGAAAAGGTGGTGGAGCCTCCTAGTTCTGGCCACTGAAGTGTGACATGGAGCGAAAGAGAGGATCACCACATGGGAGAAGCAGTACCCCCCGGCACAGCCGGCCCAAAATCCCCTGGAAGGGACGAGGTGAAGGGGCACACGGCCTATCCCTGCCTCCATGACGGTTTATTCTCCCGTCTCAGGAGGAACCTCCCCCTCCTCAATCGACTCCATCGACGCCGAGCTCGCTCTCTCCCC